CCACAATTTTCTTTTCACTTGCAATCTGAAATGCTGAACTTGTATTTCAGGGACTAGGCATTGACAGCTTTCCCATTGGTAGGGCGTCTCACCCAAACCTGCAGCTGATTTCTTGGCTAGTATCACTCCCAATTGTAAAATATACTTCCCTACTTACTTGTTCTGGTCTCTTGAAGGGTTTTTTTTTTTCTCCCAGCCAGTCAGACTGGTTTCTATTTTTTCTCCTTCATGCAAGTTAGCCTAGCAAGATGGAGGGGGGGGGGACTTTTGCTGGAGGCCAGTTTCCGTGCTCCCTAATTGGTTGGCTCTGGATGTTCTCAAACAGCTGTAGTGAGTACAGGCCATTGTGACAGTGATTAGACATCTGTGGACATGTTGTATATGGGCTGAAGTCTATAAGCTGGCCCTTTAAAAATAGCTTACAAAGTAGACAAATGATCTAGCAAGTCTTTTTGAGAGTTTAGGATGTATCGCATGTTTAGGTATCAGTAGGAGGTATGTTACTCAGATGTGGGGAAGGGCAACAAAGAGGAAATTGCCTACTCAGCTGCCTAATTGCTCTTAATAAGTATCCTGGAGAGGAGGTTGCATACCATAGAGTTAACACTTTCCTTTCCTGCATTACACACTTCCTGAGAGGAAGAAAAGAAACCCACCTCCTCCAGGATAACTTTTCTGCTAGCTAACTAACAAGCAAACAGCCCTAACCACTTCACATTTGCATCTCTAAGGTTGGCATTTTCAGTTCAATGAGAGAAAGAGAATTAGAGCCTTGAGGGAATCTCTCTGGCTTTTGACTCATCACGGTCAGGAGGAGATTAAACAATCATCCCAGTTCTAGTTAAGGAAGCTGGTTTGTGATAGATACCTAATCTGATTTGTTAAACAAATTCACAGGCCACGGTCTCTCTGGGGTAACTTGTGGTCAGAATTAAGCAATGTGGGGGGGGGGGCAATTATTTAGTTTGCATTTGAGTGTGAATTGATCTGATTTCTCATTTTCAAAGCAATACAGAAAGTAATACACTAAACCAGTGGTTCTCAACCTGTGGGTCGGGACCCCATTTGGGGTCAAACGACCATTTCACGGAGGTCACCAAACAACGCAGTACGCCATTTTTTTCCCACTTTTCCTTAGCTGTGCTACTCCCTTTTGTTCTATTGGCTTTTGAAAGCCAATAGAATAGACTCTCTTGAATAGAGTCTAATTCTATTGGCTTTCAAAAGCCAATAGGAATTGTCCAGGCTGTCTCTGCCCTGCTGAACCCGCCAAAAGTCCCATTCTGCAAACGGTGCTGCACCAGTTGAGTAGTCCTTGACTTACGACTTGTTGAGTAATCCTCGACTTAAGACCGGTTGGGGGTCGCGGCATTAAAAAGGTTGAGAACCACTGCATTAAACAGAGGCCTTCAGATTCTGCAGTGCGGTTTAAATATATAGATATTTGTGTGTGTTGGTGCGTGTGTGCTTGTGGAAGTTTTGTACAGTGGTGCATATTTCTTAAATGTAACGCACCTATACCAATCATCATATCGCAACAATGTCTGTGTACATTAAGAAAGCAGCAATGGAAAATATTTGGAAAACTATGCATCAGAATAATTTTGCATACGCACAAATTCCAGTGGAAACTTGAAAAAGGAAACAGGTTCAAAAAACCAAATTTGACATTCTTGTAAAAAAAACGAGGAATGGGAAATCCCAGATTTGCATAGCCCAGGGCTATCTAGATTTTTTTTTTTCTGATGTCTCCTTCCTTCTCTTTCAAGTTGCAGAAAAAGTGCAGATCTCTTACCATCCAGAGATCCAATCTGATCTATTGTTTTAATATGTGACCAAAAGCCTCAAGTGAACTCAGAAAGCACCGTGTGTGAGTCTTGCACATGGTCTGGAGTTTAATTTTGGTTTTGAATTATTCTGGCATCATACATCAGATCAGCAGGAAAATACAGGGAGGACTGCAAAAGATCTGAATTCATATTTTGACTGGTTGTCATGCTACATTATATTGCTAGTGTAATGTGTGAAATACATTTACCTTGTGTACTTGCTTTGCCTCAGGCAATTCATATTTAAGCATCAACATTTGGGAAAAAAACCATTTGTGGCATGGGTGTAGTTTTGTGGTTTTGCTGTGTATAATGGGCTGTTAGAGGCACCCATTTGTGTTTGATATAAATGAAAGTAGTGTTCATGTGGTGGACAAACACTGAATGCTTCCAAAGTAGACAGAAGTTGAGATAAGTATGAGTGGAACTAGATTGTGAACTCTTTAGTTAATGGGATGCTTGAAGAATACTGTATAGTGTGATACAGTTTAAGACCAAACTGGGAGAAATGCAGGGATTTTTAGCAGCATATACAGCCGATGTTTACGACATTTTTAGAATCTTTTAAATGTAACCTACTCTTCCTATCTGACTTTGTTGGTTAGCAATAGCAATAGCACGTAGACCGCTTCACAGTGCTTTACAGCCCTCTCTAAGCAGTTTACAGAGTCAGCCTATTGCCCCCCCCCCAACAATCTGGGTCCTCATTTTACCGACCTCTGAAGGATGGAAGGCTGAGCCAACCTTGAGCTGGTGAGAGTCGAACTGTTGAACTGCTGGCAGCCAGCAAACAGCAGAAGTACCTGCAATACTGCATTCTAACCACTGAGCCACCCAAATATTACTAAAATGGAATAATCCACAGTGTTCTGTGGGCAAAAATCCCGGTGAAAAATTCAATTGCTGTGTGCTTCTTTCCAACAGCCTTGTGCTACTTGGAAGCAAAAGAATGGCAGCAGAGCAAAACACACACACACAAAAAGCCAAGCCAATTCTTATCGGCTTGGTGACAAACAGATGCAAAGATCTTTAAGATTTATTTATTTATTTATGAGACTTATATACCGCTTTTAAGTGCAAGCACTCTCTAAGTGGTGTACACCAGTAAGCAATGTATATTCTGGAAGTTGAAGTCCACATGTCTTAAAATTGTCAAGTTTGGGAAACACTGTAGTAGCAGGTGCCAGGGAATAATACTATTTCAGAAAATGACTGGGTTTCCTCTTAGCAGCATGGGTCTTCAGATGGACGTGGAAGGTTGAAGGTTGCTTTGTAGCAGCAAAAACTGGAGGAGAAATTTCCTTAAGAAGAATGCTCATGTTCCCTGGATGGTTGGGTGGGATAAGGGGAAACTGGTTAGACCTTTCCTGGAAATGTTTTAATTTGGATTCCTTGCACTGACCAGGACTTCAGTGCAGGCATCCAAATTAAATGGACTTTTCCAATTCTGTGATTGACTGGTATTTAGAAAAAAATCCTCCTTTCTATTTGGATACTGGTAATAGGAATTATCGCAAAGAAATCACAACCGTACAGGTAGCGTTCGAACTACCAGGACAATTCAGCTCAAAATTTCCATTGCCAAGCAAAGTCAGTTTAGCCCCATTTTTACGACCTTTCTTGCCACGGTTGTTAAGTGAATCAGTGCAGTTGTTAAGGTAGTAACACGGTTGTTAAGTGAATCTGGCTTCCCCATTGGCTTTGCTTGTCAAAGGTTCTCTAAAGGTGATCACATGACCCAGGGACATGTGTTTTCCTGGCAGGGAGAACAGTTAATCAGTGGAACAGGTTGCCTTTGGAAGTTGTGGATGCTCCAACACTGGAGCTTTTTAGGAAGAGATTGGACAACTATTTGTCTGAAATGGTATATAGGGCTTCTTGCTTGAGCAAAGGGTTGGACTAGAAGACCTCCAAAGTCCCTTCCAGCTCTGTTATTCTATCATTCTGACAGGTCGAAGTTAAACACCACAGTATCCTATTATTTTAGACTAATTAATGAAGAGTAAAAGAGCAGGAATAAACATTTTTCTAGAGTCCAAGATCAGAACATAAAACGTAGAACAACTACATACACTTTGAGAATACAATATACTCTCATTACGTATGCCACTACTTTTCTTTGTCAGCTCTGAACATAGGGAAGCCTTAAGGACTAGGCATGGGACAGCTATCCTATAGGTCAGTGGTTCTCCTTTTTAATGCCGCGACCCCCAACTGGTCGTAAGTCAAGGACTACTCAATCGGTAATAAGTCGAGGACTACTCAACTGGTGCAGCACCGTTTGCAGAATGGGACTTTTGGCGGGCTCAGCAGGTCAGAGACAGCCTGGACAATTCCTATGGGCTTTTGAAAGCCAATAGAATTAGACTCTATTCAAGAGAGTCTACTCTATTGGCTTTCAAAAGCCAATAGAATAAAAGGGAGTAGCACACTAAGGAAAAGGGGGAAAAATGGCGGACTGCGTTGTTTGGTGACTCCTGTGAAATGGTCGTTCGACCTCAAATGGAGTCCCGACCCACAGGTTGAGAACCACTGCTATAGGTGATTTTGTTTAGGAAAAATTCTGAATTGGTCTGAGTGGCCAGCCAGTCCAGCGGTTGAATTAATTGGGGGGTGCAGTTCTTTAGTACAAACTACATCCCAGTGAGATGTGCTCTAAGCTTTCAATTTCATCAGAAGCACAGGAGCAACCTCTGTGTGAAAAAGCTGTCTGCTATTCACAATGATGATGCGACTATTCATTTTGGGACAATTACCCGTTCATAAACATGTCAAGACTGTTACTTAATTTAGAGACGTTACCTAATGAAGGATAAATTGCCTGTGAATTCTGTCTTGTACTTTCTAAATCTCTTTTGATTTGATCCATTCAAGCTTAGAACCCAGATAGTGTTTGTTTTGTTCTGTTTTGTTTTTTTTTTTTTAAATTTCCATTGCTGCCCCTGCCTGCCAGGGTATTTTGCTCTCCTGTATAGCCCAAACTTTTCCAGTAGGAGGCAGAAACAGCTTAGCTTTGCAGTGCTGATATTTCCCCTAATTATCTTGATACCATCAACTGTATTATGAGGCTAATATTGTAGAGGTTATGCTGAACATACTTGGTCCTCTTGCTCTTATTATAACAAAGTGGCATTTCTCTCCTTTTCTCACTCCACCCCCCCCCCCTTATAGGTATGAGAGCATTAAGCTCTGAGCTACACTGACGGTATGCCATTACTCTGTCACACGCTGGCGGTAGCTTTTGTTCAGATCCTTCTAGTTTCAGGCAACTGGATTTTAGCCAAGAACATCAACTTCTACAACGTGAGACTTCCAGTAGACCGTAAGTAGCCCGTTCCAGTTCCTTGGCATCGGTAAATAACTCCTGTCCAAGCATCTCCAGCCATTTTATGCTAAGCCCTTCAAACCTTTTTAAAAGGTTACTTTATATTACAATTATGCATGGGCCTAAGAGCAAAACATTAATTTGACCGTCTTCGGTGATAGTTAATTATTAGGCGGAATGCCTGATTAATGATCTAAAATGTGCACCTGGGTGTTCATCTGATTAAGTTATAATGCCTTTTTATTGCCTTCCCTATGTACTTCTAATACTTCTTGCTGTGTGCACAGTTCGCAAAGGTTCTGGAGCATTCCTTGAGCACTGCAGTTTTCAATGTTTATCCTGTTTGAGGGAAGGCGCATCAGGAAAAAAAAAACAACCAGTGCATGCTGCTTCAAGTTCAGGCATCTGATCTGTTTATTGGCAAATGTGGCAGCAGCATTAGTATTTTTATTCAGTTATGCATCAATGTTTAAGTGCAGAGCCAGATCTATCCCCCCCCCCCACAAGAGCAGAATTGCAAGGTAGGTTGAGTAGAAAGAGAGCAAATGGACTGAAGTCACAGGGTGAGCTTCCATGGCCTAGAGACCCTGCCTCTAATCCAGCGGTTCTCAACCTGTGGGTCGCGACCCCATTTGGGGTCGAATGACCATTTCATGGGGGTCGCCAAACAACGCAGTCCGCCATTTTTTCCCCTTTTCCTTAGCTGTGCTACTCTGAATTGGTCTGAGAATAGAGTCTAATTCTATTGGCTTTCAAAAGCCAATAGGAATTGTCCAGGCTGTCTCTGCCCTGCTGAGCCCGCCAAAAGTCCCATTCTGCAAACGGTGCTGCACCAGTTGAGTAGTCCTCGACTTACGACCGGTTGAATAGTCCTCGACTTACGACCGGTTGGGGGGTCGCGGCATTAGAAAGGTTGAGAACCACTGCTCTAATCCAACACTTTCACCAGTGGTATGTAGGAAGTTGTGCCAAAGTTACAAAGAGCAACATGTCTCATATAATTTACCGCAAAGGGAAAGATGTCCCACAATGAAGTAAGCCAGGACTTCCCAATCTTGACAACTTTAAGATGCCATGATGGCTGAGGAATTCTGGGAGTTGAGGTCTATGTGCCTTAAAGTGGCCAAGACTATTGGATAGTCTTGGACTTAATATTGGACTTAGCTGCTCTCCCCTTGCATCAGATGCTTGGAGCTTGTTAATGTTGCATATCAATGGACCATTTGGGCATGGCACATATCTACTTTCTAGGTCAATTCACAAGGCAATTGAACATAGTATATTGTAAAATAATTCCCTCCTGTTTGAGGGCTAATTGAGGGGAATAGGAGAATTTAGAGTCATCAGAATAAAGTATTTAACATTTCCCTCCTTTCATTTAATTTTAAAGCTACTCCATTTCCAAGCAGTTTCAAGTGCTTTACTTGTGACAATGTTATTGACAATTACAACTGTAACAGATGGGCTGAAGATAAATGGTGTCCTCAGAGTAAGTATATGGAAAGCATTTATTTTAACTTTTCCAATTAACTCAGTCGTATTAAGGGTGTCAGATGGTTAGCAGGATTTAGCAGTCCAAAGGACTAATGGCTTCTGGAATCTATAGCAATTTTCCTGGATTCACTTCAGTGTTACACGAGATTAACAATAAAAGTGAAGTCTAAGCGTACTTCCACTTGTCAGAGTTATAGCTGACTGTGTGCTTATCTATAGCATCCTTTTGATGTGTCAGTATAAAGTTTAACAGCCAGTTTCTATCTCACATGACACCAAGCTGGCAGGAATAGCCAACACTCCCGAAGACAGGCTTAAGATACAGAAGAATCTGGACAGACTTGAACATTGGGCGCTATCTAACAAAATGAAATTCAATGGTGAAAAAAGTAAGGTTCTACATTTAGGCAAGAAAAAGCAAATGCACAGGTATAGTTTAGGTGGTACCTTGCTCAATAGTAGTAACTGTGAGAGGGATCTCGGAGTCCGAGTGAACAATCACTTAAATATGAGCCATCAGTGTGCTGCAGCTGCCCAAAAAGCCAACACAGTGCTAGGTTGCATTAAGAGAGGGATAGAATCAAGATCACGTGAAGTGTTAATACCACTTTATAATGCCTTAGTAAGGCCACACTTGGAATACTGCATCCAGTTTTGGTCACCACAATGTAAAAAAGATGTTGGGACTCTAAAAAGAGTACAGAGAAGAGCAACAAAGATGATCAGGGGACTGGAGGCTAAAACTTATAAGGAACGGTTGCTGGAATTGGGTATGTCTAGTTTAATGAAGAGAAGGACGAGGGGGGGGGGACACGATAGCAGTCTTCCAATATCTCAGGGGCTGCCACAAAGAAGAGGGAGTCAAGCTATTCTCCAAAGCGCCTGAAGGCAGGACAAGAAGCAACAGATGGAAACCAATCAAGGAGAGAAGCAACCTAGAACTAAGGAAAATTTTCCTGACAGTCAGAACAATTAATCATGGAACAACCTGCCTCCGGAAGCTGTGAATCCTCCAATACTGGAAGCTTTTAAGAAGAGACTGGATAGCCATTTGTCTGAAATGGTATAGGGTTTCCTGCCTGAGCAGGAGGTTGGACTAGATGACCTCCAAGGTCCCTTCCAACATCATCATCATCATCTTCTTCTTCTTCTTCTTCTTCTTCTTCTTCTTCTTCTTCTTCTTCTTCTTCTTCTTCTTCTTCTTCTTCTTCTTCTTCTTCTTCTTCTTCTTCTTCTTCTTATTATTATTATTATTATTATTATTATTATTATTATTATTATTACTGTTCCCTTTCTCCTCTTGTTTTGTTCGGTTGCATAGGAAAAGTTTGCATCCTTTCTCATATAATCCAGAGCAAGCAAACATTAAACAGAAATTAATTTACCAATAAAGGAGAATATTTGTAGCTCAGGATTGAAATGAGAGGGCCTTGGTGTTCTTGTTTGTTTCCTTGTTTGTTTCCTTGCTTGATGAAAGATCCTTGATGCTCTTATTTATTTTTTTGTTTGTTTGTTTTTTGCTTGTTTGCAGATGTTTCATTACCCAAACTATTTAACATCATCAGCACTAGTAAGAAGTGGGGTTTGCTCTCAGTTTATGTTCCAGTGGCTTGCCCTGTGAGTGTTGGTGGGTGAAGACCAAAACACTTCCCCACCAGCAATCAGCATCCAGATGAGCATAGATTAACTCCAAGATTAACATCAGAGCAGCAATCAAATAAACAATAGCCCAGTCAAGGAACTGTCAAATTAGCTAGCATTAAATAGCCCAACCAAAGAACCTCCAAAATCTCCTCCACCAACACTCACGGGGCAAGAACATAAACTGAGAACATAAACTGAGAACAAACCTCATTCCTTACTAGCACTGAGGACATTGCCTGGTTTGGGTAATGAAACGTCTGCAAGAAAACAACCAAGGCCAGAGAGCACCAAGGACCCCTCAGAAATAAATGTATTATGTATGAATGTACGTATTAGGTATGTATGTATGCAGTGGTGGGATTCAAATATGTGAACAACAGATTCTCTGTGTGAATGCTGCTTCCGGAAGTCCTTTCTGGGCCTGGGCAATTAGTTACCGGTTCTACCGAACTGGTACGAACTGGCTGAATCCCACCACTGTTGTCATGCCTATGTCTGACCCTGACTTTGAGGATGACATGGCGTTCCCTGTTGAGGCCCAGGAGGGGGTGTCTGTGGCTTCGGAGGACTGTGGGGAGGAACAGGCTGAAGCAGGCCAGGGCCCTTCAAGTTTGGAACAGGGAAGGCAGAGCTCAGGTGAGGAGCAAGGCTTCTCCCCACCAGATCCCAGAGCAAGGAGAGCAGAGAGGAGGAGGGAACAATGGAAGCAGGTTCACTTGCTCAGGAGGAGAGTGTCACGCCCCACTTCACAAGGCACACCTGGGGAGTAGGTATTTAAGGAAACGCTGTGGGGTGGGGCATTTGCCGGGAACAAACGTGAACTCTTGTGATGTGAGTTCTTGTACCTGGACTCTTTGTATTTTGGATCAAGTTTATTTCCTGCTGAGTTCTCCTTGCTGTCCTTAGTTTTGCAGTTTGTAGGTTACAGGCAAGCTGGGCATGGAAAAGATCATACTTTGTTATCTGTTTTACTTTAAAGAACTGTTTAACTCCATTGACTGTTTTATTGAACTTGTGCCAGCATATGTGGGGGCTGTTGGGTGAATGTTGGCAGTGCTTACAAATATAATTATTCTGACCAGCTAAGTGCTTTGCCTCCGTTTGGGGCCCTGGGTCATCACAATTGTATGTATGTATGTATAGATTTATTTATGTGCTGTCCAACTTGTCTAAAGAGAATCCTGGACAGCATATAAATTTAATACATAAATTCTGACATGGATATAATATAAACTTCCTATCTGAAGCCCAACAGACTTGAGAAGTTGAATCCCAGAATTCCCAGTTATTTAGGACTATTGGCTTCTCCTCCACCATCTGCCCACTTTATGGAGCGGCATCATAGCTGCTTTTCCTTCTGAGTGGGAAGGATTTTTGCCAAGAGAATGTAGGAAGGGTGGATTATACATATTTTCCAACCATTAGGGGGAAAAAATCACTTGGGGTCATCATGTGGTAGAATCCCCATCAGCAATATGGTGGGTGGTTGTATATCATTTCCACAATTTGGAAAAAATCTGCAGCCAGTGGAAAGCAAAGCCATATGTTGATGTGCGGACAGTCATTGTTTTAAAAAAAGGGAAAAGTATCAGGAAATGTACACCCTAAGGTTAGAGAATACAGGAAAATAATATGTGAAATGTTCCAATCAAGCAAAACTTGGTTTATGTGTCAATACGTTTAGGCTTAAGTGTTGAGATGTTAGTAGGATTTTGATTTTTAGTGAAAAAGCTAAGTCAACATGCCTGAGCTTATAAAATATAATTGTAAAAGAATCCTGATGTTGTCTTTTGCTTCCTTTTCTCTCTGTCTCTTTTTTGATTGTTTAGACACTCGGTACTGTTTAGCAGCCCATCACTTTACTAGTCATGGAAGGAGCCTCTCTGTCACAAAGAAATGTGCTACCAGGGAAGAATGCCATTTCGTTGGCTGCCATCACCACAGAGAAACTAGTCATACAGTAAGCATTGCGTTTTGGTATAAAGTTAGCCCTTCGAACAAAGAGAGCCCTTTCTGTGCTGTAGATGGAATCTCCCCACGGAATACTTGGCAATACTGACAGACGGCAAAAGACAAGGTTGAGTTTCTGCCTGAGAATTATGATGGATCCAGATGAGTTTGGGGTTTCTTGCTGCATATCTCTCTCTCTCTCTCTCTCTCTCTCTCTCTCTCTCTCTCTCTCCCTCCCTCCCTCCCTCCCTCTCTCCCTCCCTCCCTCTCTCCCTCCCTCTTTCCTCTCTATCTCCCACCTCTCTCTCTCCCTCCCTCTCTCTCTCCTTCCCTCCCTCCCTTTTTCTCTCTCCCTCCCTCTCTCCCTCTCCCTCTCTCTCTCCCTCCCTCTCTCCCTCTCTCTCTCTCCCTCCCTCTCCCCTCTCTCTCTCTCCCTCCCTCTCTCCCTTTTTCTCTCTCCCTCCCTCTCTCTCCCTCCCTCTCTCCCTCTCTCTCTCTCCCTCTCCCCTCTCTCCTCTGTCTCTCTGTCTCTCTCTCTCTCAGAACAGTCTCAGGAGTTTTTAATTACTATGAAATAGTGTAAGAGGACCTAGGAGAAATGGATCTCTTTCCAGATATGGAATTAAAGCTGCTTCATTTCGTAGTTTCTTGACTCATTTAGAATACTGATTCTCATGTGGTTCAAAGATGACTATTTAAACTAAAGGCATTTTACTCATTGAGTAAGTTATTAGGGTGACGTACTAGCACATTGTGACTTCCTTTCAGTACATAGATACATGACATTTGTTACCTCAAATAGGCCAACCAAATATAAGTATACCTAGAAAGGTGATAATAATGTAGTGGGATTTCCAAAGTCTTAAGAGGGGAAGGAAAAGCCCAGAAATACATATTATAAATTAAAACTACTCAATAAAATTCACTCTGATCCATTATTAATAAGCTACAATCCATACTGAGAGCCAGTTTGGTTAAGGTACCAAGTTAGAAACGTGGAGACATGATGTCCTTGGAGCCTGGTTGTTTTCTTCCAGACGTTTCATTACCCAACTAGATAACATCATCAGTGAGAGATGTGAGTTCTAATCCCAGCTAAGGCACACAGCTAGTTCAGTGTCTTTGGGCCCGTAACTACTTCTCAACTCTAGACCAAAAGCAATAGCAAACTATTTCCAAAAAAATGTTACCAAGAAAATGACAAGAACTTCTCCAGGGAGTTGCCCGGAGTCAAGACTAACTTGAAGGCACAAAGCCCTCCCTCCCTTAGCTGATACTTGATGACGCGGCACTTTTCCAGCACTGGGTGGCAGGCCCTTACTTGCATATGCATCCAAACTGAAGCAGATTCTCAAGAGGAATAAGAAATGACAGAACAATGATGCTAACATCGGAACCAGATCTTATAATAAATCCAGATACCTATTTTGCTACCACATTTACATCAGTAGCACCATCACAGGGCCCAACAACTTCACACGCAAGATGAGAGGTGCTCTTCTTCTGATGTGAGATATGCCTTGATCTGCCAGCAATGTTCCTCAGGATTCAGTGTAAAACAATTGGGACAAGCTTTGCACAGAAGAATTAATAGACACAGATATGATATTGGAACTCAAAACTAATAATGTCGGGGCATTTCAGCCTTCTGTGATCCTCCATTATAGATCTCAAAGTAACCAATTTGAAAAAAAAAAAAAAAACCTATGCTAGCTGAATTGAGCAAGACATAGCTGAATTCATATACATCAAAAGTGGTGAGGCTGACTCAGAAGGTTTTTAATATATTACAGATTGTTACATTTGATAAGGTGCATGTAATGTATCTCACATATAGCCTGTGTCTATCTTCCTCTCATTTTTCCTCATTTCACTTTAAATCTTACCAATGTCTAGACCAGTGGTTCTCAACCTGTGGGTCGGGACCCCATTTGGGGTCGAACGACCATTTCATGGGGGTCGCCAAACAAGGCTGTCCGCCATTTTTTCCCCCTTTTCTTTGGCCACGCCCCTGGCACCCGGTGATGTATAAGTGGTTGGGTCACCACAACATGGGGAACTGTTTTATGGGGTCGCGGCATTAGAAAGGTTGAGAACCACTGGTCTAGACACTCTATTGCATCTGCTAAATGAGCTTCAGTTTATGAAGGCTTATGCCTTTTAATAAATTTGGTAGTCTGAAAAGGTGCTACCTGACACCACCTGAATTTTGGTTGCTGTAGACTAACATGGCTTTCCTCTCACAATACCTGCTTTTTATATCTTAGGGATTAAAATTTGAGATATTTGCCAGTACTGTTGCTAAGAAAGTTCCCTGAGCTATCTCTACCATCTACAGTACCACAAAGTTCTCCTATCTTCTGCAGTCTTGTTAGTGATTTCACAGTTCTAATGGCATAAGCAAGTGGTTCTAAAACCAAAGACAAAAAGGAAAGAAAAGTAAAATTAGGGCATCCTCAACTGATGTTGTAAATTTTAAATAGGGAGAAACATGCTATCGATTTGTGATCTTGGGAGTTGAATAAAACAAGCTAAATACAACCCAAAATAATTTAAGAAATCACTTCAGAAATCTCCAAGAAATTATACTAATTTTTAAATCTGTATTTAAATAAAAATGCTGCTTCATTTTCTCTATTTTGAACAAAAGCAATTACTTAAAAACCTAATATTATCAGCTTGGTGGCCCTGAATTCATAAATGTCAGATTAAGAAAAAACTACGATCTCTAAGATAGATAGATAGATAGATGGATGGATAGATAGATAGATAGATAGATAGATAGATAGATAGATAGATAGATAGATAGATAGATAGATAGGAGAGAGAGAGAGACAGAGACAGAGACAGAGAGATAGATAACGTGCCATCAAATTGTGAAGATTGTCATGTTTCTCCATGACAATCTGTCCCTAACCTGTCCAACAGGTCTTCCAGTGTTACAGTCATCACCCTGTAACTGAGTCCAACCACATCGGACTCAGTTTGCTGCTAGTCATCCTCTTCTCTTTCCTTCCATCTTTCCCACCATTAGATCCTTTTCCAGAAAGATAGGTCTTCCCATAATATTCCAAAGTAGAATAATTTGAACCTGGTTGTTTGTTCTTCAAATGAGAACTGGGTTGATTTGCTCAATGACCTACTCACTGGTTTATTTTCTTGGCTATTCACGGTGTTCTCAGGAGCCTTCTCCAAAACCAAAGTTCAGAGACTTCAATACTCTTCCTATCCTGTTTCTTCAAAACCTAATTTTCACTTCTATAGAGTGTCATAGGGCTTGCAGGGTTCTGATCTTTGTAGGTGTAAACACATCACGGTATTTGATTATTTTTTTCCAAGTCCTTCATGGCTGCTCTGTCGGTGGCAAATTTTACGATTGCTTGTTTCTTTATTCTTGATGGTTGATCTTAGAAGACAGAAGCTATTCACTACTTCAGTATCTTCATTGCCATTTCTAAGGCTGGTTGTTCTACTCGTTGTTATTATATTCGTCTTCCTTATATTTCATTTAGTCCTATTGTTTCCACTTAGCTCCTTAACTTTTATTATTACAGCTTGCAGATTCTTTGCATTTTCAGCTATCAAGGTATGTCATCAGCATAATGCAGGTTATCAATTTTTCTTCCTCCAGTTTTAAAACCATGCTAATCTTTTTCCAATCCAGCTTCCCTTAATATATATTTAGCATGTAGTTTAAATAAATAAGGAGAGGGTATGCAGTCTTATCACACTCGTTTGCCAACCAGGAACCAGTTTGTTTCACACTGTTAATATTCATAGTATGGCTTCCTGACCTGTATATAAGTTTCTGATGAATAGAATCTGAGATTCCCATTTTTTGAAATCATTTTCCATAGCTTGATGTGATAGACACAATTGAAGGCCTTGAGACCCTCACTTAAAATCTTACATCCCTATTTTTCAAAGAAATAAATTGTAACATAAAAGGATTCCTGCCCTCCTTGGAAATATTGCAGAATAAGTTTTATTTAAACTGGAGGATAAGAATCTACAAACCACCAATAAAATAGAAAAATAAAATAAAAATAAGAATATTTTCTTGGACCTATCAGGGTCATGAACCTTCTCTAACCGCGTAGATTAATTTTAGTCACAATTTCTTGAAGAAAAAAAGGTGAGATAAGGTTAGTAATCTAATTTTGTGAGCTGTGGTAATTTTATATTTTGTAAAAAGAAGTCTACCTCATATGCTGATAAGAAATTGGAACTTACATAATTTGAAATAATTTTAAATGGTTTATGAATAAGTCTAAAATGTATATCCACTTTCCGAGAAATATCATAAATCAAAGATTTGCTTAATTTGTTTTAAGAAAAAACCCAATAGCTTACTCTCCCCTTTCCCTTTATCATTGCCTTGTACAAAATAATATAATTTCCATTTTGGAAGCTTAAAGTTTGTTGAATTTATGTTTTGCAGAAACCAGAGTCCTATATTGTTTTAGGAGATGGATGAGAAACAGAAATGTTTACCTTTATCAGAAGCATATGCAATAATATGACCTCAAATGAGGTCATATGCTTTAGCACTATCACATAACCAATTACAGTCATGAAATCCAACCCCTGTTAATACGGAAAAAAATCTGCCATTTCCTGTTCTATCTGCTTAATGTATCATTCCACAGAGCTTTGTTGAAAAGCCATTAAAAGAAATATCTCAATTGCTGTCACCTAAGGCAACTTGCTTCATAATAGTATGATTTGAAACAATTATGACAACTCTGGACAGTCCACACTTTTTTTTTTTAGATTTTTATCCCATTTTTTTTTCACATTTGATTCGAGATGATAAATCCACCTAATGCTCTTTCCTACTCTATTTTCTCTGCAAAAACACCCCCATGTGAGGTAAATTGGGCCGAGCCAAAGTGACTGGCCCAAAGTCACCCAGCTGCCTTTTCATGCCTAAGGTGGGACTAGAACTCACAGTTTCCTGGGTTTTAGATCAACACCTTAACCAGCACACCAAAACTTCTCTCCTGGCCCAGTAAAGGCTACCTACTGCTCTTTAAGAGCAGAAGTGGACAGTACCAATCTTCTCCCACTCACAGCCCAGTGCAAATGCTTCCCACACCTGTGTTTTCCAATACTGATTCAGAGCTGCTGTTTTCCAACTGCAACCATCTTAGGCCCTTGAGAGGGGATGGCCTCTGTTACCTTGTTCCAGTGTACTAGCAGCTCCAATGTTGTCTCTAACACACCCTGCTTCTCCAGTGGCTGATCATTGCCTTATGAAGTTCTTTCATCCTGGACTGCTGGGCTCTGCATTTTTTAAATAATCTAGCAGCAATCCAATGATGGGAGGTTAAGTCTGTGAATTAACTTCCCTACTAAAAGTTCATGTATGCCTTCATTCGTGAGTTCATGTTGCATTCACCCTTTTTCAACTTGCAGTGGGAACCTTTTCAGTTTCTGTCTAGATTAGAGGAAGCGTGTTGCCTTTGATTTTCCCCTCTGCACATTGTACTGCAAAGCTTCTCTTCCTTGCCTTTTGAAATATATTTAAGAAATACTCCTATTGCATTTTGCTTCCATGAGGCTGAGCTGCCTTGATGTAACATTTCTATGGACCTATAGAAGAACATTGGATCAAAAGGGTCACCTCTTCTTTATTGGCTTAACTACGGTAGCATGGGAATCACAATAGTACCATAAGGCGGAGGGGAGAAAAATTCTGATTTAGTGGCAAGAAGAAATAATGTGGGAAGGAGACACGCTTCTAGCTATTGACACACATCTCTGGAAAAAGTCAAGGAAAGGCATGGAGACTAATGAGAGGGGAGTAATCCCTTAAAGCAGGGGTCCTCAACCCTCGGGCCGCGGCCTGATATCGAGCCACGGCCCGTTCAAAACCGGGCTGCACAAGATGCGGGTGAGCACGTGAGTATACTCTACTGCTGCATGCGTGGAATCATCCCCTGTCCCCCCCCCCTATCTCCACCACTTCCAATCTGCAAAGCCCAAACGGTTGGGGACTGCTGCCTTAAAGGAGATGACAGGTGGGATGGTCCACCTGGAAGCCAGCCAATAAGAACAAGGAGCAGAAAAATGACCACTCAGGGGCCTTGCTGGACTGCATATCAGCCCCAACCCAGGGCCAAGCCACTGCAATTCAGGCTGACATTGCTGAAGAACTTAAGAAGCCTCTGGGAACATTCTGGTAGACAAACAGCTTAGGCTGTCATGTAGAATTACTTTATGTCACACAAAACTTCAACTTTAGATGGAAGGAATGAGAGATTTCCTGCAATTTCATTACGCTTCGACCTGCAGCAGAATGGCAGAGTGTATTTTATGATTCCATACAAGTGCAAAGCGAACATAAAAATGTACACTTTAATGCCCTGAAGCTCTTTACTTTCTTTTCTCTTCTTCCCCCTTTTCTTTCACATTTCTAGTCCTGAAGTTTGCAGCAGTACACATAATGAAATATGAGCTTTGCTTTATACAGTCTCAGAAGCAAGGCAGGGATGAATAACAGTTATTAAGATTCATAGCGCAAAATGAGGCTTCAATGTTCAACATGGCTATCATGAGTTCTTCATAATCAGTAAAAGCAGGATTTATTACGCTGACTATGTGCTTTGCTGAATTATAAATAATTCAAGATTCAGATTTTCATCTATATAGAATTTAGATTTTTTTTTTAAGTACAGCTCTGATAATGCAGGTTCTCAGTCTTTGCGCTGCTTCTGGCATCTGTGTGATTAGTTTGCTAAGAGAATATTTACATATGCCTAAGTATGTTTTGATCTGTGCAACCTATGAGCGAGGGCATTAGCCAGTATGTATCAATGCATTATATAATTGAGAAGATGCTGTGTTTGGGCACTACTCTAACTCATTGCCCACTTTTGGAATATCATTCTTGATTAAATTGTCTCTCATAACATGATAATTATGGTTACTTTCGTGATCATCTTGATGTAAAAGATGATCTAGATGACTCTAGAAAGAGTACAGAGAAGAGCAACAAAGATGATCAGGGGACTGGAGGCTAAAACATATAAAGGAACGGTTGCTGGAATTGGGTATGTCTAGTTTAATGAAGAGAAGGATGAGGGGGGACATGATAGCAGTGTTCCAATATCTCAGGGGTTGCCACAAGGAAGAGGGAGTCAAGCTATTTTCCAAAGCGCCTGAAGGCAGGACAAGAAGCAATGGATGGAAACTAACCAAAGAGAGAAGCAACCTAGAATTAAGGAGAAATTTCCTGACAGTTAGAACAATTAATCAGTGGAACAATTTGCCTCCAGAAGTTGTGAATGCTCCAACAATGGAAGTTTTTAAGAAGAGACTGGACAGCCATTTGTCTGAAATGGTATAGAGTTTCCTGCCTGAGCAGGAGGTTGGACTAGATGACCTCCAAGGTCCCTTCCAACTCTGTTATTCTATTCTGTTCTGTTCTGTTCTATTCTGTTCTATTCTATAACTAATAAAACTAATGTATGCATTAGAACATTCCTCATTGCTGCTCAAAAATGCAGATTTTCTTTTTCTGGGCACAAAGGCAGACTTCTGTATTATGACTGTATTGTGTATTCTGTATTATGACTGTATTATGACTGGGAGGCATGCAGCATGTTAATAGGATGCAACATAATTCATTAACATGAATTATGTTGCATCCTATTGCTTAGACTGCAGCATTGAGATTTGTTTCCGCTTCAGATTTTTTCTTGGGAATAGACAACTGTTGCTTATTCATTTTTCTGCAAGAATAACAAACTTCTAGCAATTTGTCAAATTGTCAGTATTCCAATATTTTCTGTTACCCTCCTGTATGTATATTTTTTTTCTTGATCCGAGAACCAGGATCACAATAAAACTGAAGTGTCAGTATATGGAGGAGTTTATAGTTTATTGCATATTTTAATTATAAGTGTCCTCATAGCTTCTGTCTCCTTTATTTCTTTGAATAGTCAAGGATAGTGACAGCGCTCTTTCTTTCAAGGCTAGCAATCTCTTTACCTATGCATTTCTTTTCTGAGGCAAAGGTGCCGTTAGATAATACAGCAGTATGATATGCTACCTATAACCCGCATTTTAATTCCAATTGATTAGCAAAATTGTTATGTAGATTTAAAAAGTTTTATTGCTCTTTGAAAAGATTCCCAACGAATCTAGCAGCAGCCATTTAATACATTATTAATAGTTTGTAGGGAACTGGACGATAGATATATTGTATTTCATAAGGTGATGTTTTCTGTCGAAGATTGTATTTTTAAATGGAGCATGCACTGCATCTAAAAAGAGAGCATCTCTTTTCTTCAAAGAGGGTTATAATTTCCATGTGCAAATTGATGCAGATTTATTGATTGATTCCTTTAATCAAGAAGCACTAAGGCATCCATGTAATAACGTTATCTATTACAATTTACAGGAGTGCATTTCCTGCTGCGAAGGGATGATCTGCAATGTAGATATACCCACAAATCACACAAATGCTGTTTTTGCGGTACCGCATGCCCGGAGGATATCAGGAGGTAGCAGACAAACTATTAGCATCTTCTTGCTGGTCATACTCCTCATAGTTTTCAAGTTATGACATGACTCCCCTCAGGCAGAAGGAATTTGTCGTCTGGAGTTACATGAAGACAATCTTTGATGAAGAAGGAGTTGTAAGAGGCCTGTTATATGAATAAAAGCGCTGCTGGTTATTTGAAGACTGCTGGCCATAACTCTCAGATATTGGTGCCAAGAAAACCCAAGCACAATGGCCAGATATTATGTCAACTTGACTAGTTACCAGAAATCTCGGACGTCTTTGTGTGGAGCTTAGAACAATTTGTGCTTTGGCACATTATTGTAGCAAGTTATTACTGTACAATTTTGAAGTATTAAAATTCTTCCTCAGCTGAAATAATATGCTTTCTGAAGTGGTGATACAATATTCTTATTTTATATCCAAACTCTTCCTAGTTTTGAGGGGGTCCCTACCTAGCTGTAATCCAAACCCATTTCTGATGTTGTTCCAATTTTTTGCTGTCCCTACTGTGGGCTCCTGTATTCTAACACTACAGTAGCCACTGTAGTAGCATCATCGGATTGAGGGGGAAACGGATGGAAATGGTAAGGTTTGGTAATAGTCCATTTTGGGTCTGGAGACATTGGCATGTGTCCAACTATGCAAGTTTGGCTTGATGCAGTGAATAAATAGTTATTATTAGGAGTTCTTCAAAAAGGTAGAATAGTTAGTTCAGTGTTTCTCAACCTTGACAATTTTAAGGCATGTGGACTTCAACTCCCAGAATTCCACAGCCAGCAATGCTGGCTGTGGAATTCTGGGAGTTGAAGTCCACATGCCTTAAAATTGTCAAGGTTGAGAAACACTGAGTTAGTTCCACACCTCAAATATCTATAACAAGACTGTGCCTTTTCTCCACATTGCCCTTGCTGGCCATGATTTCCAAATAGTATCAGTATAGTAGGATTACCTCTTCCTCATGAGTTGCACTTATGCTGGAGGACTGGGGACTTATCCAAATCATCTAGAGAAGTAGAGAGTTCAGAACAACTGGTTGGTTTGTTCCCCACTGAGAAATATGAACAGGAAAGAGTTATGATAGGTAAACCCAGAGTAATGGACTTCCAACTCTGTTTGAAGTGCACAACATTAAAAAAAAAAAAAAACTTGTTTCCTAAGTGATCCAAGACAATTTAATGTGAATCACCTTGAGCTGTAGCTCAGTCTGTGAGGGAAACAATATATATGAAACCGATTTCAAAGGCCATGGAATTTAACGTTCTATTCTGTAAGACTTGAAACTGTACAAAAAAACAGTTGCAACTTGTACTGCAGTGTGTGTTGAATCAATTTTAAATAACAAACAGGTTCATGGAATTTCATGAATTCATGGAAACAGAATATGGACAAATAGAAATAAGAATTGATACAAATGATACAAATAAAGAAGGCTGGAATGACTGTTTGCTGTAAGTCTTTTAGATGATAAGCCATGTGCTCATGTGTTTATAAATATTCTTGTTTTTCTTCTCTGTCTTCGGGAATTCAAGTTTACAAATGTGTTTTATACATAATAAGTACTACATTAAACTAATAACTTTTCATTGGCAATCAGTGTTACATGTTCCTTTAACCATAACATCTGGGGGAAAAACTTTTAATTTTATCTCATTCTAAACTTACACCAATTTCATCAAATTGTTAAGCAGTACCAAAGCTAAGGTTATTGTCTTCCTTCCACTGTCTCTAGATATCTGCCCCAGATATCTCAGCACGTTTCTTGCAGGAGCAAGCATGCAGGCAAAGTGTTGCTTAGAGCAGGCAGTGTGCCTTTGTATTCTGTTCCTTGGCTGTTTCAACTGGGTCCAGTAGTCTCGAAGTTTAACAATAGCTTTAAGCCAAATGAAAGTATAGAGAAAGGAATTCACTTAGAGGTAGAACTTCAGCTTTGGGTTGAAAACAAACCTGGTTTGTTGGTAGCACTTCCAGGTAGGATTTACTACTAGCAATTATAATGCCAAGTTAAGACTTGAGGTCTTAAGTTAGTGCAAGGCAATATTCCATGTTCCTTCCTAGAACTTTGATTTGTAAGGTCAATGTCATTCCAGCTCACTATCAGTTAGTTAAATTGATTTCAAATTATCATTACTAGCAAATTGCCTATTATGGCATCTTTGTTTGAATTTTTCTTGATCCACAGTTTAGAATCCTATCTAAATTACCGTATATGCCGCCGTATTAGGCGACCCGGCGTATAAGACGACCCCTGTCTTTATAGCCGGGCCGCATTCCTAGAAAGTCGTCTTATATGCCGGAAACTACCAGTATTTCCGGCGTATAAGACGACTCGGCGTATAAGATGAACCCCGTCTTTGGCGCCGATTTCAGCGCTCGCGGAAGTCATCTTATACGCCGGCATTTACGGTAAATCCAAAGGAGTACAAATTGATTTCTGGAACTGCAGAATTTTTGCTCAGCCCAATATCTGAATCCTAGATCTTCAGGAAAATCAATTTATTCAGCCCAGCAAGCTGAAAAGGGATAGCTATGTATTATGCAGGAGAAGTTGAGTATTTCGAAGGATCTCTCAACAAAAGCAACAGTTGCAAATCATCTAGATCAGGGGTAGGCAACCTTGGCTCTTTTATGACTCATGGACTTCAGCTCCCAGAATTCCTGAGCCAGCATGGCTCAGCTTGGAAACCTCTCCCTTTCCCCTCAGCATGGCTGGCTCAGGAATTCTGGGAGTTGAAGTCCAGAGTCATAAAAGAGCCAAGGTTGCCTACCCCTGATCTAGATTCTAGAAAGTGTTGTGATTTTCATCTGAGTCTTAAAAAGAAGTCATTTTTAGAGATATATTGTCTTCATCCTAGTGAGCTGGTTTTGCATACAAAACTAAGTTCCCTCAATTAATTAAACGTGCTAAGTTATAAACCATGACTGATAAAAAACAGTGATTACTTCATATATGAAACCAACATCAAACCGTGTTATGACTTAGCTTGATATATTGACTCAGCCAATTTTTTTCAGAATACAGTTTTTTATGGACATTTTAATGGGAAAATTGTTTAGCTTTGTGTCAAACCCAAATGAAAACTAAGTCTCCAAACCAGCAGGAAGTATTCAGCATAGAACCGCTTGAATTTTACACCTTTATCAAATAGCCAAATTATTTATTTTCCTTGTCCTATTTTCAAAGAGCAAATTAAGATGGCTGTACTTGGGCATTAGCATTGCACTGACATGTCATAAGTTGTCTATATGCAAAGATTCATCTGGATCAGACATGTCAAACACAAGGCCCGGGGGCCGGATGCAGCCTGTGAAGTGGTTTCATGTGGCCCGTGAAGCCATCCTGGAAACAGTGAGGGAACGGCCCCCACTGCCTTGGCCCTGGCCCAGGCCAGCTGAGAGCCAATGTACAATTTTGTGGTGGCCATCTATGCTGAAACGTATTCAGTCTTAGCTCCATAAGCCCCCCCCCTGCATGGCCTGAGAGGAACAGTGAGGCTCCTCCAGTGGACCATGCCTTGGCACTTGCCCTGTCCCACCCCCTTCTTCCAGAGACCCTCAGAGTTATCCCACTCCTGCCCAGGTCCCCACAGGCACCCTTGACATGAACAATGTAGAGCTGGCCACACCCATCCAGTAGGCCACACCCACTCCATCCACACCCACCCAGTAGGCCACATCCACCATGGCCATACCCACCTGGCCCCCTGAGGGCAACTGCAATGCTGCTGCGGCCCTCAATGAAATTGAGTTTGACACCCCTGATCTGGATAGTCTTTGTTATTATGTGAAAATGACCGTGTATTTGTTTGTGAATGCATTTATGATACGTTTAAACTTGATACCATACATTTTTCCCAGGTGAGTAATACTGCAATATGAAATAAATTTTGAAATAAGATCTCTTTTCTTTGTAGTAAGCAATATTCATTGATGTCCCCACCATGACTGTTGCTAAAAGATGACAGCTTATATTTTAAAAAAGAATGTTCCTAGCATAATTGATAAAAATTATGGATGAGAACTTTACCTGCTACTGTGTTTTTAGAAAAAATCGTTTCAACAGTTCTTTCTGAACAAGTTCACTAAATATGGGCACAGTAATTGCTGATAAGCAATTTTATCCATTTATATCGGACTCATCAAGGTGAACTGAAACTCGAAGACCCTATGATAAATTATTTTTCAATTAGTGTTCCAGTTCAGTAGAAATTAAGTCTATTAGTGTAGTAATTACATTCAGGCAGGATCGCTATGTGGATTATTGCAATTATTTCCTTTTTAGTTCAGAAATTTTCAAACAGCAAAATATCTAAATTGTTAGCTGTCTGCTGAATAAATCAGTTGAGTGGAACACTCAAATCCTGGTGTAATCCAAGACAGGCATAGTTAAATCTTTTAAAGCTGCAAACCGATATATAGTGGGGAAAAATACTTTTGAGAATGGGTAACCATGGAAAGTGGGATTATTATTAATTTTTCAAACTCTACAGGAGAAAGCAGCTAATCTGGCCATCAGTTCCAACCTTCTGCTCACTCCAGGGTTCTAAATTTAAGCCAAAGTGCTACAACTTGCTAAAAATGTTTCTGACTTTTGTCACGTGTTTGATGTGAGTGCGGGAGAAGTGGACTAATGGACCCCTGAAGATGCAGAACTGAGTCTGCACACATACTTGCCATAGGTAACCACAAGAGACTATGTCTATCCCCTGGTCTTAAGTGAAAAAATAAAAGACAATATTGCTATCAACAAATGGCTTTCTTGGGCCCAAAATGAATGCTACATCTCAAAAAAAAAAAAAAAAAAAAGTGGCAGATTCAATCATCAGATTAACAGCTGAGCCCCAGGAACCAAATTCAAAGTTCGGCTTCATTTCCTTTGTTGAGACATCTGTTGAGTCCGTGGCGGGAAAACAGACACGAGAAGCAGCTGGAGTTCTCAGTTTCTTTTATTCAGCGTTCAGCTTACAGGAAGATGGCTTCAGCCTCGCCCAAACGCCTCGCAGCCTCTTATATAGGCAACTCCCGGGTAAATGGGTTACTTTTCCCGCGCCAGCACCCGCGCATGCGCACGGCGCTGGCGACAGCCTGTCTGGTCCCGGGCAGCTTTGCACCTGCCCGGGACTGCCTGCAAACGCCCGAGCCGTTTGCAAAGGCTCGGGACATAACACCCCTTTCCCCCGCGCTAAAACTACTACCAACATACAACATTTATTTTATATGACATTTTGCTCCCCAGTGCTCCCACTGATTACTGGCTTTTGCCTTGCCAGCAATGTTAGGTAATCTTCTAGATACTTAGGAGATTTCTTTGCTCTCTGTGACCTTCTTAGCTCTGGGTTACTGGCATAAGTCCCCTGACTGGAGGGAGGCGTGAGCCTGTTCTCTCTATTGTGCCCTGGTGTCTTCCAAGGACTGTGCCCCGATGCCTGGCCTGCTTGCTTGCCCACCGGGCTCGTCAGGCCAGGGCTTCTGTTGCTTTGTGACCTGGTTGTCCTACCTAGCTGTAGACCCTCAGGCCCCTTGAAGTGATAGCCACTGCTGGGCGTCTCTGTAGAACCTCCTAGGTCAGTCCAAGACCTGTCAGGAGGCTGTCCATTCCCTGAACCCCATTCTGTGCTCGGGCTCGTGTGGGTTTCTGTACTTTCCCAAAACTCAGGTGTTCCCTGATTTGTGCTAGGGGTGTTGTAGTCGGGACTTGGTTCCTCGACTAGCTCTGTGTATGTTTGACCCCCTGTAGGATTTGGGGTAAGGTCAGGCCAACCTTGGGAACTGTGTGCCAGCTCTCTTGCGGGGAATGATTTGTTGGGATGCCCCCGGGTATCCTCCATTGCTGGAGTGCTGTGTGATGTATGTGGAAAGTGAGTATGTCCCCGGGGTGACTCCCTGGCTGGAGTAGGCGTGAGTACCTGTTGTGTGGGTAAGCTCCATGACTTCCTTTTCGGAGCAATTGCAGAATCCTGGGATGGGCCGTTTGTGGCTCCCTCAGCGGAGATGGGCAGTAGCTCTTGCCCTTCCCTTTGCTCCAAAGGGTCCCCCTCCCCCCCTGGAAAAGACCCAGGAGTCTCATCAGAAAAGTCTCGCCTAGAGCGAAGTTGGTCGATGTGCCGACGCAGGACACGACCGTTGTCCAGGGCAACCTCGTAGGAGAGAGGACCTGTGATCCTGGACACAGAAGCGGGGACCCATGTATGACCAGGCCCGTAATTGCGAGCCCAAACCGGGGCACCCACAAGTAGTTGTCTAGGTGCCCTAGGATGTGAGGTAGATGAAGGCAGTCTGTCCGGATGCAACCGGTCAAGTCTAGTAGTAAGTTGGCGCCCCAACGAAGTTCAGCTGGACTTCTCCCTGTAGAAGTGGACGGTGTGGTGCGATAAGAAAGGAGAAAGTCAGCCAACCTGTGATGCCAGTCCCCGTAGGTGAGTCTCTTCAAGGCGTCCTTTGCGATGCGCACCATGCGTTCAGCCATACCGTTGGTGGATGGGTGAAAAGGCGCAGATGTGGCATGACGAATCAGGTTTGCCTGTAAGAAAGATTGGAATTCGGAGGAGGTGAATTGAGGGCCGTTGTCGGACACAATGACATCTGGCAGCCCG